CTGTCATAAGCAAAAAAACAAGAAAGGTAGGAAGGAGCCAGGTTGTGAAGCAATTTAAATGGTGAAGGAGATAATCTACTCTGACTCGAATTTAACTGCCCTGGTGGGACTTCTATATTGCTATTGTCTTAGCATTTTCAGAACAGTGGAAAGCCAAACAACTTTCCAGCTTGTTTTTCTTGAAATCCCAGTTTCTGTTTTAAATTTTCAAAGAAAAGAGTTCTCAGTGGGGAAGCTGCTATTCTTGTGCAAAAAAAGCAGGGAGTCTCAGAAAGCAAATAAAAAAAAACACCCAAAACAAAGCTTTTTGTTTGTTTACCCGCCAAACTGGGCTGGAGGCAGTAAATGCAATAAACTGAAAACAATCCAGGAATACTCATTAGTGTCAGCAAAGAAGCACCAGACTAGGCCAAGCTATCATCTTCCAAGTGAACACAAGCCCAGAGCGGCACCAAACCCAGAGAGTGGCGCTCCTGCTCCCAGGCAAGGACGACTATAGGACCAGCTAAAGTACAGCCCTCTCCAGTTGCCCTGAATAAACATCAGTAGCACTCTAATTCTAATGATAAAATTGCATCAGAAAATGCATGTCCAAGTTGCTTTGACCCTTGACTTTTTCCTGTGGGTGGAGAGGAAAAAATGTCAAATACAAAAGTTTCCCTCATTCTCAGACAGAACTTCATAGACAAAACTCTCCCTCAGAACCCTACCCCCTTTTAAATGGTTGTTTGCAGTAACCTACACATTTGAGAAATTGGTGGAAGACGGCTACAGAAGGCTGCACCCCAGCATTCCCTCCTCCAGTCTTCCCCATTCCTAATGCTTAAAACAAAGGAATATAGTGCAGTTAGCAAGTGTCTAATCAATTGCATCTATAGCAGCCAGGAGGCATGTTAGCTGATTGGTGGGGGAGTTTAAGTAAATACTCACCAAGCATTTGGAACAAAGACAGAAATATTTATACCAATTACCAAAAGACTCTAATAAGAACTCTATTTCTTGGGCAAGAGTCAATGGCTCTGTTCATCATAAACATGTGTCTGCGGTATCTCTGGGCTCAGAGAAAAAGGAGCTAATTAAAAAGTCCCATTTGCTTTTTCTTTTTTGGTTTTCAGTGTGAATTGGTTACATCAACAACCTAAATAACACAGGGAGAAAGGTGGCATTATCCAAAAGGTAGAATATATTCAGTTATAAAAACTGGGTACAGGAAATGAAAAAGGTTGTAGCTAGCTAAAATTGATGGGGAAATTTTGGGTTAGTGGGATGTAACTATCTAAATCAAAACATGAACACCTTGGCCCTTGAAGGCTAGTATCACTTCTTCACCACCAAGAACAACGGCCACTATTTCACACTTCCAATTCTGGTTCTCTTCATAGACACTTCCTCTCCTACTCCAGGGTCACCACGACTCCAAATACCAACATGTCAATTCTAGGAGCTAGGAATTGTTTCTTCTCAGGTCTCTAGCCATCAGACACTGAGAACCATATTTGTTCTTAGCTTTGTCTTTTATAGGAAAACTAAAACCTTCTTTATTGCCAGTTACTGTTTTCATAGGCCATGATTCACTTATTGGTCATCCCCAATAGCTACCCACACTTGCTGGCAAGCCCCCCACTCTCTCCTCTTCATTCCCTTACAATAGTTTCTCCAACCTTTGTGAAGAGCACCCTTTGAGGGGAGGAAAGAGCAAAGGGAGGGAAGGAGAAAAATTTAGAAATTAAAATCTTACAAAAATGAATGTTGAAAACTATCTTTACGTGGAATTAGAAAAAAATACTTAAGTGCAAAAAATATATTAAAAACTAAAAAGTAGATTATTAAATTTGCAAACACATCAAACAGAAACACAAGAAAGGCAAAGAAATACAAATAAGAAAAGCAGAAGTCACAAAACAAATTATACCAATTAGGACAATTAAAATTTTTGAAAAAAGAGAAAGTGAAAGGCATATATTTGCTTTTAAAAAAATAAAACCAAGGGATCATAAGAAAAAAAAACAAACACACACCCTTTGAAATGACAGATGTAGTGAGAACGAAGTCCTGGGTGGGGAAGGGCCTAAATGTGTCTCTAAATGTCTCTAAAATTGTCTCTAAATGGAATTGGGGAAGGCTGCCACATAGGCTCCACTCCCTTTCCCATTGGGAATTGCAGAAAATCCTGCTGAGGGCGGAGAGAGTAATAGCAAGCAGTTAGATGACAAGAAAGGTTTCTCTATCTACCTATAGATTCTGAACTGGTTAGAAACTCCAACTTTTACTTTCCAAGTCAGATTTGCTGGATACCTTGAATAGGAGGTTGGGTGACTACTTGTCAGTGCTTGGCACACAGTAGGCTGTTTACCTGATGCTGTAGAAGAGATGGGTTACTGTTCAGGTACAGGTAAGACTAGATGATCCTATCCACTAAATCGTCCCTAGGTCACACTTACAGAAAATCTACTGTATCAGAAAACCTCCTACTGAGGAGGTAGATGGGTAGGTAAACATTGAAAAGAAGAGACATTGATTTGTTTCACTCAACTACTTTATTACAGGGAAAGGTTCTAATGGAAGGAGTCATTGGGAAGTGATGGTGATTTAAAAAAAAATGTATCAATAAAACATTTAAAAAGAAAAGAAGAAATGTGTGACTTTCAAGGAACTACTTTCCAGCTAGAGTGTTATTAGTATTACAAAGAAGCCTGTGCTTATTTTTTACCACAAGGGTCAATGCAGTTATAAGATAGTCATATATATACACTCATCCATCAAGTCCAACAAGTTTACAGGTATTTCTCTCTCATACACACACACACACACACACACACACACAACACACACACACACACACACACACAGTTGAGAAACAGTTCTGAAGACCTGACCCAGATGAGCTCAGCACAAAGTTAGAGATCTACGGGCTATAAGTTGCCTCTGGTCACAAAATTGTTTTTCTATGGCATCAAATCCAAGTAGTCTTTGGCTGAGCACTGAAGGAAATAACAAGTTAGGTAAGATAGTACTGGATTAAGTAGGCTGCATGGAAACATTTATTCTTTTTAAAAATGAGCTCTCTTGCTTTGGGAATTCTTCTAGAAAATGATTCCCATGCAAGACTAAGAATTTTGAGAAATCACACATAAGTTTTCTTTCTAAATTAAATCTAATAGCCAGACTTTCTCTTTTCCACAGAAGACTGACTTAACATATTGAAACATCCACCTTTAAGTAATGTCAACTCTTAGTTATTCAGAGACTGGTTAGCTATCCATTTTGTAAATGATCAGGCCACTCACTGTCCTTCCTTCTGACTATAGTCCACTTCACTATTGATTATCACCTCCACCAGAAGGCAGGTAAAAGTTTTATTTGTAAGAAAATCTGATTGTTATGAGAGGAGATTAATGCTTCCAGCAGGTTGAAGCATTCAATGTAGATTTGGCTTACCTGTATTCTTACATTCCATACAGTTGGCACATTTGAGGGTTGGCTTTAACACTACTTTGTTCTCCCTACACCCAAGAACATTTAAATGACCAAACATGAGAATTCCTAAGACATAGCTCTAGCCAACCATTCAGTGAATGGAGAAGGGTGGTCATAAATCATCAGCTTCTTTCAACTTCAAAGAAATGTCTAAACAATTAGGCAGTGAAATACCCAAAATGGGTTATAGGTGGAGAGCACTACCTATTATCTTCCAAAAGCACCCATCTCCCAATTCCAGGATATATTAGATTAGTTTCATCCAAATGAGTAATTCTACCCAAACTATTGTTGTCATGTCCAACTCTTCATGATCCCACTTGGGGTTTTCATGGGCAAAGATACTGGAGTGGTTTGCCATTTCTTTCTCCAGCTCATTTTACAGATGAGGAAACTGAAGCAAACAGGGGTAAGTGACTTGCCCAGGGTCACAGAGTTAGTAAGGGTCTGAGGCCGGATTTGAACTCAGGAAGCTGAGTATTCTTGATTCTAGGCCCAATGCTCTATCTACTGTATACCTATTTGGACAGGTCTTATTAATATAAATCAAGACCAACAAGAAATCTCAAAAACATTCCAAATTCGTGCCTACTATGGTTACCTTTGATTTAAAAGAGATAGGTGAACTTATATCTAAAAATACTTGCTTCACTGAGCACATCAAATAATCTGAACAAGTAAGATTTGCAAAATTAGTCTTCAGTCTAAAACCTGTTTTATCTTTTTTGGGCAAGCAAGTTAGAGGATGATAGAATGTTAAGAGTTATAAGAAACCTTTGAGATTAGCTGTTCTAACACCTACCATGCTCATATTACATGGGATGAGAAGCTTGGTCTCCAGACTCCTACTCCATTGCTCTTTGCATCACAACACACAATACCTTAATGGCATTTTTGTATTTGCATTTTCTTTTTTTCTTTTTTTTTTCTTTTTTAGGCAATTGGGGTTAAATGACTTGCCCAGAGTCACACAGCTAGTAAGTGTCAAGTGTTTGGTCTGAGGCCAGATTTGAACTCAGGTCCTCCTGACTTCAGGGCCAGTGCTCTATCCACTGTGCCACCTACCTGCCCGTATTTGCATTTTCTAAGATGAAAACAGTTCCATGAAAGGACACTAGAAGTTACATTTTTATTTTATATTTAGATGATTTCATATAGTTACAAGAACAATATTTGCCTTCACTTGGTTGAATTCCATCTCCAGAAACACGTGGGAAATGCCAGGACCTTTCCAATTGCAATGAGTCATAAGAGATATTCTACTAAAGTCTAGGTTGGTGCTTAGCCCACACTAAGCACATTCTCATTCTTACTCTCATTCTCATTCTCTCTCTCTCACACACACACACACACACACACACAAACACACACACACATATGAAAATTTAAAAATGTTCAATATCATAGCAAGATAGAATTTGGCTTATTAAAATAAAATTTGACAATACAAACAGGAGAGATAGTCAATAAGAAGCAAAAACCCAAAATACAGCATATGGAAAAATACTCCAAGTTAACACAACTTTTATGTTTTTTTCAGTAAATATGTTTTTTTATTCTCTATTTACAGATGTTCCAGAAAGGCAATAGTGACTGTGCTGGTGGGGCAGTGGCAAATCTCACTCACTTTAGAGACTGTAAGGGCCACAACATGCTACCAGGTGAAATTGGTAAAAATTCAAAGGCAAGTCCCATCACAGCAGTTAATGCCTGGTCAATTTTTTCTTCAGCATATCCTGAGGATGGATCAATTTTAGATTTTGCCTTTTGGGAAATGACTTTGCTTTGTCAACATTCAGGGTTCATTTTCTTTAAAATTAAAACATCTAAAATGATACCACAACCTTCCAGCAGTTATGGGAAGATGAGGTGCGATGGGCAAGAAGAGAAAGAAACATTTAAGAGATTGAGCTTATATCTGTAAATTATTCCACAACATTTTCACTGCTGTCATCTAAAATTTTCCCCACTAAGCCCCGTTGGTACCCTCCAGCTAATAGTCCTTTCAACATCACTACGTAGCAACTCTGGCACTGCAATAAGTTGATTTACTTAATAAAGGCTAATTATTTATTGTCCACCTAGAACCAATGGAAAATTAAACATTTCCATCCTTGCTTGGACATAGTTGACATGGGAGTGCAACAGTGCATCAGATATTATAAGAATAAATTATAGAAGCTTAAAAATATTTCCTATTTTGCAAAGAATTCATCTATCTGCTTGTAATGAGAATTAACAGGAACACATGGAATTACCCCAGTCCAAGATTCTGACATCTCAAAAGCAAAATTTCTGTTTAGTTGGAGGATAAAGTATAGAATGGTCCTTATTTGTGATATTTGTAGAGAATTAGCAGTGCCACCTTCTGAAGGGAAAAGCATGCATTGGAGTAGGCACTGTCATACAACAGCATAATAATCTAGGAGACCATGAATAGTTCCAATGACCCTCAGGACAACAATTATACTACTTCTGCAAGACTTTGGAGATAAGAGTTACTCTTCCTTCTGACATGTATCTAACTTCAATTTCATTTACCCAAGCCAATCCTCTTCCTTGAACCATGATGGACATTGAAGAATTCCCTCAAACCAACTATTGCATCAAAGTGCTTCTGCCTATGGAATGACATTTGAGCAATACAGTTCTACTGGGGTTTTTCAAGCCTCTAAGCTCAAGTCAAGAGGGAAGATACTTACTTACTTACTTCCTCCTAAAGATACTACTAGTTTAATGGTTTCTAGCCACTGGAAGGACTTGCTTCTGAAGTCATGATATATGCAGCCAGCACTTTCTCCCATCTTTCCCCACTTGCTGATTTGAAAAATTTCCATAATTTTTACATATTGAACCAGTCAACAGACCCAGCCCTGAACATCCCTTAGAGAAAACACTTCTGCACCTGTCTCTTCTGAGCTAGAGATAAATTTTAATGTCTGATTCTCAAAGAAGGAATGAAATGTTCACAAAGTAACTTCCTAGTTACTAGGAACCAAACTGAAGCTTCACTAAACAATTACTACTGCCTGTCTTAAACATCAAGTTTTATTCTAACTCATAGCTTTCATAATTGACTCTAACCACCCTTGTCTTGGTTCAATCTATGCTAAATAATGTTAATAAGCCCCAAAGAGCTTTACTTGCTAATAAGATGGCAGATCTAAGACTAGAGCAGCCACATGTGATATGACTTCAGTATTAATTAAAGATTCAGAAAGTAAAGGTATTCTATCTCAAAAAGCAAACTGTTCATTAGACCAAATAGTATAAAAGCTTAGAAACAATATAACTGTTTTCTGATTCTGGTGATAGGATTACTTAGGGCAGAACGATGGTTTTAAAGTAATCTGATGTGATAAACAATGATGAATCTATTTGAGGTCCTGGAAAGAACAACCAAATGATTTTTGTGTTCCAATATGACACTGCATAGGTGAGGTGCTCATGCCCAAAATACCCGAGGATCAGGCACAGGTCCAAACTACTATTACTAATAAACAGGTAGATTACTAAAGGGACAATAGACTTCAAAGTCCTTCAAACTTTATGAAAAGGTGAGTATAGGCAGGGCAGCAGGGCAAGCATGCAGACGGGAATGAGACTTAAAACTGGATCTTCGGAAGACACTGAAGACAGAACTGCAAACTCAATTATTTGCAGGTGCATGCATGGACGTATATATGGTGGAGTAAGAGGAAAAGGTGGGGGTGGGGTGGAGAGAAGCAAGGAAGCAGTCATAAGCTATCAGGCTGAATCCTGAAAAAGTGAATGTTTGGTGTGACCAGAGAGTCAGCTATTAAAAAGCCCTAATGAATACACATGGCCTTTCGGGAAGGAAGAAGTATTTATTGTTGATTGCTATGGTACTCAATACATTTTTAAAAATCTGAGCACTCCGTCTAGCTAATGTATGTCTGGATCTCCAGTTCTATGTTCCCTTAGTCTTCTCATGAGACTAGTTGTAAAATTATCACAAAAGGCACGTTGTGAAATTGAGATGGGCCACGTCACACATTCAAGCAGACTGAGAGCTAGGGAGCAATTTAAAAGGCCATGGGGCACTTTTCTCGGAGTTTCTAGTTTTGTGTTGCAAGGGGAAGACCTCCTACAACCATGAATGTTGAACTGAATTGGAAATTAAAGAACAGTTCTGTCAGTTTAGCTCCATGAAAGGGAAGCCCACCCAACAGAACCAAGCCTAAGGTCTATGTTTTAGTCTGAGCTACAAGGAACATGCTGTAAGAAAAGAGCAAGCATCTGAGTAATGAGGGGATGTCATTTCAGATTGAGATTTCAAGGGTTAACTCCAGACCAGCTCAAGAAGTCTATGCACATGACCCATTTGAGTGGACTATGGAAACAAGCAGACTGTTTGTTTCTCCTCCTGTGAAAGCTCACTCGAGGCTCTTGCACCAGCGCATCACCTTTAGGAATCTACAACACAAAAACAAACAAAAACTGAGTGTTAGCAAGAAAGGCAACAGGTGGGGAGTGGGCATATTGCTCTAGGTTGCAAATGTCCCACTAGGCAAAGGGTAAAAGGGAAGTATGGGGGTCAGAAGTATCTACAGCAGACATTACCAAGGTAATGTCCTTGGGATAAGTAACTTTCACTGTTTTGTCATAGCAAACTATTTTCCAACCTAGATTAGGAGAGATGTCTACTGGAAAACTGAAAAGACAAGTTCACCTGAATGACTATTTCTTCTGATTTTAGTTGCATGTGAAAGGAAAGAAAGCAATATTTTATTGACAGAAAAAATAATAGTGGTTCAATTTCCTTTCCTAAGTTGCAACTCTGCCTTTTTTTTTTAATTGGGGGGTAATATAAAATCTTTGTTTTAGTGATAAGGTAAATAGAGCTCAATGTTTATCAGACAGTAAACAGTGAAAGTTCTTCATCTTGAGGAGTGCAGGAAAGCAGCAAGAAAAAGAAACACAGACTTTCTAAGCCCATAAATACATACATGGTAAAGAAGAAGGAGAAAGTTATCATGGGTGTGGGGGAAGCCAGATTTTTATATGCATTTGGACAAAAAATGCCCCACTGGTAAAGGTAAGAGGGTTGAGCACTTGTACTACACAGAATAATTTGCTCAGGAGGGTAAAAAAAATCATTTAAAATACACAATCATGAGAAAATATAATGTTTATTAGAGGCAGATGTAAAGATACAGCTAGAAAGTAATACCGGACAAAGAGTTTTTCTTTTAGAATAGGAGTAGAAAGAAACAATCACGTTGGCTACATTCAAACAAAACTTACTCAGAATCAAAGTGTCTCTAATAAAGTCAAGTCTGGAACAGCCAGCAGGGACCCTAGCTACGAGTGTAACAGTCCTTGTGGCTTAACCAGCAGTTATAAAAACAAAAGGATCATTAGGCAGCAGAATAATAACCAATAAAACAAACATTTATATAAAAAAGGCAAAAAGTTAAAAACAAGTCAAATTCAAGTAACCCTTTAGTTTTTAAATTGCAGTATATACAAATATTTTCTGTGGGGAATTATTGACATATTTAACAGAAAGACTTAAAAAAAATTCCTTACACAAAGGAAAAAAGATGTCACAATCCAATTGCCCAAAGGTTAGCTATAATATTCTAAATATTTTGGCAAGCATTAAATAATTAGCTACATTGTAAAAAGTGCACTGGCATCAATAAAAACATAACCACTACTTCTAGTTATGGACATGGGAAAGTAGCAGTTGTTCCTCAATGGGTCACTATTACAGAACTGTTGGCTGAGGTATGACAGATTTATAAACCAGGTAGCAGACATGAGGGAAGAATCCCACAGAAAGCATGAGCAACTCTGAGAGTCTGGCTAGGATTATGGAAGTAGAACAAGATTTGTTTACAAGAGTAAGCAAGATTTGTTTTTGCTCTTTTTTGTACATTTTAACAGATAGTATTTCTGATTAAAGAAAGCAAAGCCTATTTGGAACAAAATGTTAAGCCTGACAGAATATATCCTTCTAAGAACTAGTCTTTCATTTAGGGAACTTTAAAACATTGAAATTTTCTTAGGGCTCTGCACATAAAATGAAGTAAGATTTCATATGGAATCTTATGGAATATGAGTAGTAGGTACAATCAGATTATATAACAATGGTATGAAAAACTCAATGCTGGTGAGATTCAATGGATCATTTAAATATTTCATATACTGAAATAATAAAAGCTAACAAAATATTTTCACTGGGCCGTCAACAACAGTCAAAACTGTTGTTCTGGCTACTAAGCAATCCATTATAAAAATAATTACAGTCAGGCTATGTAAATTAAAGACATCCCCTTTGCAAATCTATTAATATGTTTTCTGAATCAATGAGAGCAATCATTTGTGGAAAATACAGGGTATTAAAGTTTTTAAAATTGTGCATTACGAGTAACAAAATGGTTTCATTCACTTTATGTTTTTTCAGTACTTATTATGCTGCCTTCAACAGGGAAAAAAACCAACATTTGAGTAATAAACAAATGTTCCCTTTTACTCTGGGATTTCTCAATGCAAAACTGTACTGAAGCCTAAAGTTAGCACTCACAGCTATTAAGCAAAATGGGGAAGCATTTGTGACACATTTAAAAAGGAACAAAAACCTTGTGGATTAAAAATTACTGTATTTTCCTATTGTAATCTGAATAAAACTTTAATAATGTAATTGAAAATGCCTGTAATCAAAATGGGCTATTATATCAATAATGGGATAAAAGAAAAATCTCTAAGATTATTGAAAAATAAAAACTACTAAAACATTTTTTTGCTGGTTTCAAAATAGTGATCTAACTTTGGGGTTATAGTTTGGTAAAATAGATTTGGTTTAATCAAAAACATATAAGGGTAAAACTAGTCTAAAATTAGACTACATGAAGGCAGCTTTTGAATTTTGGATATGGTTTTGAAGCATAGGAAATATGTAAACTCAATTCACAAAAGGCTGAAAAGATTCTGATAACATATAAAAACAAGGACTTCAGTGAAAGATAATGTCAATCAATTCTGGGCCTAAAGTTTCCTAATCTGTAAAATGGGTAGATGAAACTAGATAATTTCTAAGGTCCCTTCCAGCTCTAACATCCTAGGGTTTTATGATTCTAATTCATATCATTTTTGCTAGATTTAAGTAACATAAACATGCATTAATATCTGTTTTTCAAATAGCTTTGTAAAGAGCTTTATTTTATAAAATGAGCCCAAACAAGCAAAATACTTATGTTTCTTAACTAAAAGAAATGTGAATTTCTTTTTTTTTTTTTTTAGGCAGTTGGGGTTCAGTGACTTGCCCAGGGTCACACAGCTAGTAAGTGTCAAGTGTTTGGTCTGAGGCCAGATTTGAACTCAGGTCCTCCTGACTTTAGGACCGGTACTCTATCCACTGTACCACCTACCTGCCCCAAAATGTGAATTTCTTGACTGTGTGCAGGCAGAAGATGAGTATATCTATAATTTTCAAGTTCAATCTTTAAAAATCTAAGTCTGAGAAACTAGTGAAAAGAACAAATAAAGAATCTCTAAAATTGCTCCCAAATTATTATCAGTTATCAGTGCATCTTATTAGGTATACCTAAGAACTAGGCTTGATTCAGTTAGATATGATTACAATGAAATATTTTGATAGAAGCTGAACTGCAATTTTCTTGTTATCTACAGACACTACAAAAATAAATGACATTTACTTATATTTCAAATGGGGACATACGTATATATTGGCAGTTAAATAAGTTCTCCATATGGGCATTTCATCTCAATAAGAAACTTACTATCAAATATAATCAATGAAAAGTCAGTTGTACAATGCATGAATCCATTGTGTAACTGTGAAAAAAAAAAAGCACATTAAGGAATGTATCCAGTCCTTAGAGAAGTTCTACCTGAAACAGTCACAGATGGGGAAGGAGAAACTCCAACAAAAAAGAATTTAATCTTATTAAATGTAAGTCATAGCACCTTTGGCATTTTTGTCCAAATAGACTTCGACGTACGAAGTAGGGACATAACCTTCTTCATCTTCATTTCTCCGAATTCGTGTCCAGCCATCACCTTTGTCTTCCTCTATGACATATAATATTTCTCCTTCAGCTATTGAAATCGTTCCTTCATTCTGACCTGAAAAGCATTAATGGCCCAGCAGTTTAGTTTTTTAGTCAAAGTAACCTCAGACACTTGGGTCCATATCCCTGGTAAAGATATAGGCACTAACATTTATTTGAGGGGCCTCTAGCCTTTTATTCTCCATAACCTCTTGGCACAGCTCTGTATTTTTTCCTTTCTTGTCTCCTGTAACATTACATGGTCCTAGTTCTCTTACCACAGTGACAGATTGTTTTCAGTCTCTTTCCCAGGTTCTGATTTCTCTTCTGCCCCATGGGCTTCTCTTCCCTATCTTGTCAACCTCATCTCTTCCCACCGTTTTGACTCTCACCTTTAAGTGGCTGATTTCCAAAGCTCTATCTTCAGCTCTGACCTCAAACATGAACTCTAATCAAGTATTATCAATTGCCTGGTAGACATCTCCAAATAGTTGACCTGGTGGCATCTTAAACTAAGTTCATTATTTTTCTTTACAAATTAGCATCTTCTTATTTCCTTATTTCTATTAATGGTAATACCATTCTCCTAGTCATCTAGGTTTTATCTTTTGACTTTTTCCCTTTCTCACTACCCATATGGAATCAGTTACTAAGTCCTATCAATTCTTCCTTCATCTTGGTTCAGGCCTTCATTTCCTTTGTTCTGATCTACTTACTACTAACAGACTCCTAAACAGTCTCCCTATTTTTTAATTTCTGTCCCTTCCAATCTATTTTACATTCTCCCAGCTGATTACTCTTCCTGATTATATCCCTTCTTCTGCTAACAAAACTTAAATGGCTCCCTATTGCCTGTGTAGTAAGGTTTATATGGTGAATTTCTTAAGGACAGGGATGATACCTTACTCATCTTCATATTTTCAACAATACCTGAGACAGGATGTTGCACATAGTAGACACCCACAAGTATTAGGGGCTTAATTAGTATTTCATAAATAAATAGATGAAATTATAATTTATGGCAGCCACTATAATTAAGTTTATTCAAATTAGACAAAATTATGAAATAAGTCAACAGGCTCAGTAATCAGGAAAGGAAAAACAACAAACAGAAGAAAATACAGAATCACAGGAAAGACAACAACAAAAAAGCAGTCTGAACACAACCACAGGAAGGAGATTGTGTGGTGGAGGGGAAGGAGGGATAGGTTCAGAATCAGAGGTTCTGAACTTAAACCTCAGCTCACCTCTTCTTTACTGCCTCTGCTACCCTGGACATGTCACTGGACTTTGCAGGTTCCATGAGTATTCATGTACAATCATGGGGCTGCTCTGCATGGCTTTCCAGTTTAAAATTTTCAATTCTTTTTTTTTTAAAGCTCTTTTTAAAAAAAAATTTTTTTTTTAATTTTTAGGCAATTGGGATTAAGTGACTTGCCCAGGGTTAAAATTTTCAATTCTAATCAGTACAATGACAACCATGTCCACTATTATGTCTCCCAAGGATCTATGAAGAAACACGTTAGCCTCATCCTGATTGAGAGAAGATCACTGTAAGGTAGGGAAACAGACACACAGTTCTGGACATGGTCACTTTGTAGAACTGTTTGGCTTCACTATGCTTATTTGTTACAAGGACTTTTCCTCTTCCTTTAGCTCAGTTTTTAATTGCAAGGATGGAGAAAGGGGTAAAATATAATAAGGCTAAAAAAGAGGGCCATTAAAACATTTTTTAAATGAACAGAAGAAAAGAAAGTTCAAAAGAAAGCACACACGCAAGACAGTTTTTAAAACAAAGTATAGAAATAAATATATATATATACATGTGTATATCTATCTATATACATATAAAAATATATAAATACACATGTGTATGTATATCTATCTATACACACATACATACACATATATATTTATTGCAAGTGATATGAAACAGAGATTCAAAGTTTCATATGCAACACTCTTTGTGTTGTTCTTTGTGTGAGGAAATGTTCATTTTTGGGGAGTTTCAATTTTTTTTTAAAGTAAATTTTTAAAAAATCTTTGATGCAGAGCAGCTAGGTAGTACAGTGGTTGGAACTCTGACCTTGGAGTCAGGAGAACCTGAGTTCAAATCTGGCCTCAGACACTTGATACTTCCTAGCTGTGTGACCCTGGACAAGTCACTTAATCCTGATTGCCTCACCAAAAAGAAAAAAAAAATCTTTGATGCTGTGAGACATATAAAATGAGATAATTGAGTAAAGAATGGTAACAGGAAGAGATACCTTCAAATGTATACAGTGCTTTACAGGTTCCTATGGTAGGAAGGGGTTCTTCATCATCAAATTCATCATCAAAGTCTGTGGCCATCATCTTCAGCTCATTCTCCTGACTCTGTTCCTCTGTATAACTGCCATCTGGGCTGCTCAAGAAAGAAAAATACACAGCAACTATAGCAACTAACTTCAGTAGAGATACTCAGCTAATGTATTCAACAAAAAAAGTAGTCATGGTCACCTTAGTTACAATTATGAGCATCCCTTTCACATGCTTTTATCATTCCATTTTAAATTCTAAATTTTCACCATGCAAGAAATTATTTCAAGTTTACTTCAATTTTAAACCTGTTCCTCTCTTGCTTCTTCCATCTTCTGAGACTCACCAACACCTAGGTGACATTGCATCCCTGGCCATCCTTTCCATATTGGTTGTCCTGTCTTGCACACTCCCCAACTCATTGGTCCTAGTGGGGTGAAGATGGAGTAGCACAGAAGACTTCTCGCTTTCCTGTTTCCTATGACCACTGGCGGACTCTCCCTCTACTAACATCCCTCAGTAATTTCTCTTCCTTCAAGGATCTTGCCATCCAAATTCATCACACAGTTCAGATTCAACAGCCAGAAGCAGCTGGGTGGAAGATATAGTGCAGACAGCACTGGGCCTGCAGTCAGGATGATCTGACTCTAGATTAGTAGTCCTAATCCTAACCTCCTAATCTTCAACCTAATCCTTAATTCTAAAGTCCTAATGCAGCTTCAGACACTTACTAGCACTATGACTCTAGGCAAGTCACTCAACTTCTGTTTCAAGCTTGGGACCTCATCTCTACTAGTGTGGACTATTCCAATAGCCTTGTAATGGTTTCCCCATCTCAAATCTTTTCTGCACTCTAATCCATCTTCTATACTAAAATGTTGCCAACAGCTGCCAAAGTGACTTTTCTTAAAGCTCAGGTCTGATCATGTCATCCCTTGTCCCTACTCAATATCCAACATAAACTGTTTGCCACTTAAATCTCTTCCCAACCTAGCTTCTTATCTTTGAAGCTTGCTTTCACATCATTCTCCTCCACATAATCTACATTCTAGCTATTCTGGCCTACTTGGTGCTCCTCATACACAACACTCTTCATTTCCCAACCCCAGGCCTTTTCCTTGGCTGCCCTCAAGACTGGAATACCCTAACTCCTCACCTCTGCTTCTTAGAATCCCTTCAAGACTCAATTCAAAGTCTACTTTCTACATGATGCCTGCCTTTCCCTGTCCTCTGGCCCTTCCTGTTTCCCTCTCTAAGGTTATTTAGTATCTCTTCTATATTTATCTTGTATTCACCTCTTTGGCTATATGTTGTCATTCCCCCCATTAGAATGTAAACTACTTGAGATAAGGGACTGTTCTGCTTTTTCTTTGCTCAGGGGCTGGCCCTATAGTAAGCACTTGATGATTGTAGAAGGACTAGTGGTACCCAAACATGTATGCAACAGATATTTGATCCTTTTGTATAGTGCAATAGAAGCCAAAAGCTAAAAAAGAGCAGCTCTCTCCAGGTACGGTACCTCTCCCGGTCTTGCGCACAATTATTGACTGACAGTGTAGTCTGTGCTTCATACATTCCACTCTGTCGTCGGGCCTGTTCCCCTCGGACTGGGAGTCTGCCTTCAACTTCAGTGAGCCAGGCCTGGAAATGTAAAGGAGCGCTTTAAACGCTTTTCTAAAATATTCAGAGAAGCAAAACACAGAATCTGATTTTACTGTATTATAGGGCAATAGAGCATGAAAGAAGATGCAGAAGAACACATATAGAAAGCACCTTTAGTTTTTACTCCTCCCAGCTTTACAACTTACCTTCCCCCCAAAAAAACTCCATTTCTTTCTTTTTTTTTTTTGGTGAGGCAGTCAGGGTTAAGTGACCTGCCCAAGGTCACACAGCTAGCAAGTGTCAAGTGTCTGAAGCCTGATTTGAACTCAGGTCCTCCTGACTCCAAGGCTGGAGCTCTATGCACTGCACTACCTAGCTGCCCCTACACTTCATTTTTAAAGAATCAACAGTAAAGAAACCTTTTCTGGTGGAATTCAGGAAACCAAGTGAAAAAAGTTACTTTCATCAACACTTTAAACAGAAAGGAAAGGCAGGAGAGTATATTTGACAAAGAAAAAATGAATACAGGCACAGATATTTCCAGTTCTAGATAGGCTACTTGGAAATCCGTAACCTACTTATAATATCTTCTAAAGGGAATACAATATTCATTCTCACCTTTTCTTTCTGTATTTTTTTATTCTCACCTTTTAAAAATCTGTTATTTGACTCTGTAAATAACCTTGTATAAGTAGTCAGTTAACACTTTCCCCATGCTTCATTTTTAGTTGACAAAAAGGCTTTACTTAACCAACATGAGTATTCTAATATATATATATATATGCACACATGTATACAATATATATATATAAAACCACATTGCCTTTACTCATCTCTTAAGACATTTCTATCATATTCTCTGTATTATATTCTCCATTTTTTATAGACCTTCACAGATCACATTTTCTACTGACGCTTCTCATAGGACGAACGTTTTCATTACTTTTAAAAAATCTATTTTTAATTTACTAAGCAAAGAATTGTAAATTATTTAGCATTGGTTACTTGAATACATTCATTATTATGAACATATATTTATCAGGAGAAATCGTCTTCAGGTATGAAAGGGATATTGGAGAGCTTTTAAAATATTACAGAATTTGCTTTGCTTTACTATGCATATTTGTTACAAGGATTTTGTTTTCTCTTTACAATGGTAGGGGGTTGAGAGGAAAGAGGGGTTAGAGAAAAGGCAGGCCGCCCAAAGCAAGAAATGCAGGTTGTGGAAACATTTTTATAAAATGTGCAAGAAATGAACAGAAGGAAAGAAAGAATGCCAGGAAGCAGTGCTATTTGGAAAATTAAATGATGAATTTATTATATATTTTAAAAAGAAGAGCAAGCTGAATATAAAAGAGTTTTGCGATTTCATGTCTGATTCTCTTTTTTTGCTATGCTATGTAAATACAAATGTTCATTTTATTTGGTGAATGAAGAATTAAAAAAAAAAACCACAAATAAAATCTATATACAACTAGCAACATTTCCATAAGATGCCACTAAAGAGTACCTTAAAAGTGATCCAATTAAATCTGTGTCCAATGGATTACAATACTCTTTTGCATCTGGCTATAATCTATTTATAATATGAATCTAGAATTATAAGAAAACTGTAAGAAATCATCTGACCTAACTAGTCAGCCTTGAAGTTGAACCACGTCTATCTTGATTTTAGTCATTTATGCCATTCATATGGTAAGAGAGGCTTCACAATGCCAAGCTTCTTCCTATAACAATGTTGTTTCAAATTGCTCCTTCAATAACACTTTCCCCCTCATTCTCTCCATACCTCAAATTTCTGGACCTCTAGTCGGAGTTTTTCAATATTTTGTCCAACTTCTATCAACTTGTGATCTAAACTGCCTGGGTCTCCCATTTGTGGATTCTTTAAGTAGACATCTTTCATTTTTGTTATGGCATCTCTACAAGAAATGAACATATCAACAAAGGTTAATATAGCAGCTCAATATATATATATATATATATATATATATATTCTTAACTACTGTCTTACTCTTATTCTTTTCCAAAAATATAGCACAAAAGAATGGAAGGCATATTTTATCCAAAACTGAAAATTTTAAAGGAATCTCATTGTTACCTGAAAGTCAAAACCAAAATTTGCATTTTTATGCCTTGGCATTAAAATTCTAAATTGGGAAAAAGTCAAAATAAAAATGTACATTCCAAGCATATAACAAAACTTCAACTGGCATTTTGGGGCCTATGGGTTATGTGCCACTCATCTTAGGAAGAAGCAGAATTAATTGTTCTAGAAAATGTTTTACACCATTCCAGTTGTTAAGAATCAAATTAATTCCCAATGGTTGGTGTTGGTAGCTGGCTGGCAAAAAGAAAGCTTTAAACTTATACCCTGTTAGATCATACAACATTTTCTGATATCATGATTTTAGAATAGGGCCCATAGTAGCTTGGAAGTAAAGAATTCCCCCCAAAGAGCTATCAGTTATGGTTTTGAGCAGTAATTTCTGGGTCTAAAGATTGCTATTAACTACGGAGCCATTGGAGAAAGCCTGTGTGTGTGTGTGTGTGTGTGTGTGTGTGTTTACATATATACGTATATATGTATACACACATATCTGTTAACTAGAAAGCACTTTAGGGTTAAAACTTCTCAGAAGCTACATTAAACGCATGTGCTAGAGGAGATAAAGCCAATTTTTACTGAGCTACAAATAAGAATTTTGAGCCTTGGGACCAACTTTATTTGATTACTCTTATCACTAGCAATGACTACAGTTCAAAGTTAAAAAGATACCAAGTCCTATGGTCCAGGTATAAGTGGTTTCATTCTAAAGCTCCCTTAATTCTAATAATTCTATATCTTTCTCTGTTAAGTATGAGAGAAGGTTGAGAAAACAAGTAAGCAGACAGAAAGCAGACTTATTTTCTATACATCAATGCTATATTTAAATGTTATCATAATTTTTAACTGTGGCTAACTGATCATACCTTAACTCACCCATTACACAGTTCTATTGTGATCAGGCACAAATAAAAGTAAAAACAAAACAAAACACCCAAACCCATTTATTACAGCAACCCTCCTTCTCTCTAGTTAATGCCTCAACTTGAAACTAAACAAGCTAATCATTCTGCTGATTGTAAATCTGACTGTACACTAAACTGTCCACTACAAAGCAGGTTAACTTTTGAGTCAGAAATAATTTTAAATATACTTGCTTCTCATTTTAACACTAAAAAACCAATATCTACAAATGATTTGTTGTATTAAAACTATTCTGAGAAAAAGAGTAAAGTAATTCTCTTATTTTAAGCACACACTCAAAATCTAACTTCTTAAGTAACCCCAGTGTCCCTCCAATAGGAAATACTGCCTCAATAACAATTTAAAGGAGCTAATCACTCTTCCTGTTGTAAATAAGCATTGCTCTAAATTACTCAAACTATCCTGGCAAATTGCCACACAGATGAGAAGAGACATTGAGAGAGGGACAACTGAAAGTGCTGCTTTTCAATCAGATGATTAAATATTATCTCATAAAAACATGAAAGAGGAAGAAAAAACAGTGCTGCTTATTCCAGGAAGTATGAGGAAAGCAGTTTGAAGTAAAACTGCAGCTAATGGAATCTGTCCCTTTTGAAGAACAAAGATTTATTTCTTTGTTTTTGTTCAGGATATTTGCATCCACATAGAGTCCTTATATGTTATTCCCAAGAGAAACTGGTGAATTCCCAAAGCTGTTACTGCTATGATATTATCATACGCCGACACACCTAATGGCTGTTTGCATAATGGGATAGTCTATAATTTGTAGTACATCAGTTTTCCTAGATGCTGCCAAAGCACTACAAAAAAGAAATGAGTATAATTTATTCCTATTAATGTTCATATGTAGGCTGCTTCCTATTCATACTCGAAGAGTGGTCATGCTTTCAGAACCAGGATGATGACGAAAAAAGTCAATTTCCTTCTCAGATAGATTAGGCAAAGTCTTCTCTACAAATTCATTAAACAAGGCTTCTTGCTAACTATGTAGACTTTTTAATCAAAGCTCAGATAAAATACAAATCTGTAATAAATCAGTTTGATAGAAGTAGCTATGACTTCTACTTTCTATTATAATGCATGAATGCACTATTTTAAATTAATTCAACAAATACTCAGTAAGCACCTGTAATAGTATATGTAAGGCACCAAGCTTAGGTACTGGGGCTACAAAGACAAAAACAAAAGCACTGACTTATGTATTACTCCTCTCCAAAAACTACTGCTTTCAAGACTACTTTAAACACTTTCATTCATCCTTGTTAATGAAATGAAACTTGCAATTCTTAATGAGGAATGTTTGATCTATTCTACCTTTGATCCATCTCCTTTTGGATTTCTTTATTTAATTCATCAACTTTCTGCTGCAGCTTTTTTCTTCTTTGTTCTGGTGGAAGGTTGCTGAAGTCCTCTGGTCCTGCACCCTACAGACATGAAAATGTAAATGAGATCTGAGTTGAAGGACTCCTGAGGGATATACCTAGAAAAGAAATTTAGTAAAGGAAGATAAGAAAAAAAAACATCTCCAAAGTAATTTTTGCAGTATTTTTTTTATACAAGAAAGGTTCCTTTCCACCTTGACCCCCTGTTAACAAACAAAATCAATGCATGCAGCCTATAGATAGCTCAGGAACCATTTCCTGTTCTGTTCTATAGCCAGCCAAGTGTGCTCCAAAAAGAATGGCTACACTGCTACAGAAAAGTATATATTCCAGGAAGTGAAAGAATAAATGGTACTCGCGTTGATAATAATCACTTGAAAACTCATTGAAATAGATATTTCTCAGTCAACTACAAAACTGTTGTTGCCAATGTCTCTTGAGACGCTATTTAAAGGGATATATAGTTTTTCACATAAGCTAAGTGTCAACCCTTCCTTCACAAATCTTTCACATATGAAATCTAGTTATAACTATGATTTTGTCCTAATCGATGCAGTCCTTCCTATCTCTTCTTGTGGGGCTAAAGCTAAAGGGTTGCATAGACTTTCATCACAGTAGAGTGACCAATCTCCATTAGGATCACCACATCTTCAGTTCAATCATAAAGATGGGGGGCATCAGGGATATCAGGTAATTTCATAAGAAGGTAGAAAAACACAACCTCATTTATCTGTACTTAATGCTCTGGGACTCTCTTCTCTCATTACCTTTATGGTAGTGTCAAAGTTCATATTGTGTGCCTTCCACTGCTTCAAGATCAATATCCCAGTTTTTTATATCAAACCTCAGCTGTTTTCTTATTCTAGCTGAAGAAATATACTGGTAGTCTTGAGTCATTCAAAAACAGTTGCTAGCTTTCTTGTGCACATGCTATTTAAAAGTAGAAAATATGAAAAGAAAGTTAGAGTTTTTCTGACTTTGAGTATATCCCTTACTTGTCAAAAAACTGTGACTGGGTTGTTGTAATTTCACAGAGAAAGAGGAGGAGAAATGCATTCAATTGACCTGGATAAGTTAAAGACACTATAAAGGAGATTTTGTTTAAAATCTCAATTCTATTAAAAACAGAGGTAGGGCTGGTTTGGGAGTGGGCAAAGAGAGGGGACTCTGATAACGTAATTTGAAAACCAAGTTCACTTTGCCAAGCAGCTTAAATGGGTGCCTGTGACTTCAAGTTCCTAGGCTGATTATATTAAAATGCCTGACCGCTTTGCTTAGGAGTATGTGATTCAGCAAATATTTTTGCCACAAAGACCACGCAGGGATCTTTTCAGCTGAGCACTGGCAGAGTTTTCAAAGACTAAAAATTCTCCTCCCATACACTTGGAGACACATTTTTACTCAATTAATTTTGACAAATGGCTTTTGTAAAAGTTGAATGTATAGTTGAGTGGGCAGAAAGTTCTTGTGTACCACTAATTCCTTCAACAACTCAAATATAAAAATAAGGGAAACAAAAATTATTATTAAGGGTAGTAATGACAATGTCATTCATGGACCTAAGCATATATACTTTTAAAAAATGTATATTCTAAACATACTTTATATTCTAAACATAAATCTGATATTATTTATTATAATAATATTAGTCCAAGGGATCAGGTATATTTATTCTATTTCTTCTTTTCTATTTTTTTTCCTTTCTCATCTACCCTAAATAAAAGAATTGAAAGCCATAAATGTGCTTTCACGGGATCATACAGCTAAAGCTGGAAAGTACCTTATAGGTCATCTAGTCCAACTCCCTTATTTTACAGATGAGGAAATGACGTCAGAGAGGTTAAGTGCCTTTCCCCTAATCATATAGGTGGCAAAACCAGAATTTTACTCAGGTCCCTTGACTCCATATTCATCACTCTTTCCACAATGCCTCATTTGGTTCAAAAGAACAGATTATATTTACGTGCTCATTTTCTTTGAATAGGTCAATATTTCTAAAACTCCAAGAGGCAGTCCAGTGTGGAAGAAATGGCTGGAAAGGGTATCCTGAGACACTGGCCCGGGGTCACTTAACATCCCCATTGTCCTTACATGCAAAATGAGTGAGCTGGATGAGATCTTTAAGGTGCCTTTTAGCTCAACAATCTATGATTTTATTTCTATGAATTGTGGTGGTACAGTTACATTCAAAGTTTTAAATAAAACACCTGGTATTTAAAGACCTTACAGTAAACATGTAATCTTGTCTCATCATCATTGTTTATCTGTAAAGAAAATGACATTGATAAATTGCTTGGATTAAAAATTTAGAAAGCAAGCTAAAGCACTAGTCTCACATACTATTAAATGCCACATCAAGGAAAAGGGGAGAATTAGAGTTTCTCAGCCACTTTTCTTGATTTTATTAGTTCTGATTTATCTAACCATGAAGGAATTTTAAATTGTCTTCTGAGCCAGATTAGATTTCCAAAATTGATTTTGTGATGCCTTTGGAATTAAGAAGAAACTGGTACTAACATTAGTAGAAGTGATAAAAAATTTTACTGAAAAAATTCCAGGTTGAGCTTGGAATTAGTTTTATCAAAGATCTTTGTCCCTCAGTAGTACAAAAAAGCTTTTACCATCCTGTCTAGAACTATACTATGAACTATATTTGCATATAAAAGTAGATAAAGCAATTCCTAGGACATGTCTTAAATATAGTATAATTGAAAAAGGGGACAAGTTGGCATTATACTATTTCAATAGCAAAGGCATAGCATCATTTAAAAGTATGTATATAGTTTCATAGCATAACATAAACAAAAATTTAATAATAAAATCAATGTTTATAGCCAATACCAAAGCTTCGATTAGAGGCAAAGAATAAGGACCACAGAGTTGCTGAGTTTTGCCGAAATCCTTAATTATACATATCAATAAAAGTTCACTAGTATTAGAGTGAGGGGAAGAAGGAGAATTAATGATCTTCAAAATTCCTGTTATTCTCATGAGAAACCATTCTTTTATTTAGTAACTTAGGATAAGTTTAAGGAGCAAGGAGATGTCTAGGACTAGGCCTGAAGAATGAAGAACTCTTTGAGATAATACAAGGCCATCTAGAGACTCTCAATCAACCGGCCAAATTATCCCAAATGAATACTGCTAATTAGTCAGATCTTTTAAAGTTTAAGTTTCTAAATTTCTTTCCTTTCTACAGAGGCCATAAGCCAAGAGGATTTTCCAATTTTCATAGGCTCAGAAATTATTTTCTTTAGGCTTAGATTAGTTGCCCAAGAAACATGAAAACAAGTTGTAAAAAAAGAAGTGAAAAGCCTTGAAATACAGTGCTCTAAGTGCAAAGCCTACAACATAAATGATATTCTGATTTTGTCTAATCTGTTCCTTAAAGCTTTATAAATTACTGTTAATTATGTCAAGTAACAGCAATAATCACAGACATACCATTTATACCTTCTTTTATAAATGTGTTAATTTTTGTTAAAGGCTTTTTTCTTCCTTAACAAATATGATAATTTTATTAATTTTGATTACACAATTTAGGACTATAAAATAGATGCACAGATAAAACCAAGCACCCTAGAAATGTATTCTGCTTATTCTATTTAAGTAAGAGGCTCTTTCACTTCCCAGAAAAAGACTTTGTGAACCAGTGAAATAAGCCATGCAAAACCCACCCATGTATCAGGGACAAGCTGCATCCACCAGGCTTCTCCCTGAGGTCTGGGTGATCCCTATAACCTGACTTCTATATTCCCAATACCCCTCTTATTTTCCCCACTTTTGCCTTCCACTTCTGCCCATTAAGGAAATGGGCTGGAAAATCTAAGTATCAGTGGTTTAAGACCTTATTTTTAATCCATTAGGTTGACAGAAGACTGTATAGACATTTTAAAAGTATGTGTGTTTACGTGCTCAGACACACATACATATACATAAAGTTTATGTAAATAGCTGGTCAAACTTTATTATCCCCTTACAGTACCAGATTATTAAGACAGAAAAATTGAAAATGGAGTTAATTTTTAAGAGACGGAATTACAATCACTTCTATTAGATTCCAGACTTGTGTACCCAAAGCTGTTTAATAAGGAAACAAGAACAAAACCATACAAATCACAGTTCAGATAGTTAATTTCAGAGGGATGCTGCAAGTGGTATAGCACACATATGAAACATAAAAGGAAACTGTGATTAAGTACAGGACATGCATTTTATAATTGTGCTTACCAGCTTGAGAGAAAGCTTCATGTAAAAATTGAAGGGATACAGGAAAAAAAGAGAAAAAACAAGAGCATATCAGTAGAAGAGGAACTTTGTCAACTCTACTGTTATAACATAACACATACATTCACCTGTCAGTTTGTGAAAATGAATTGTAGCAAATCTGTGCAAAAGTTCACAAGAGGGGCAAACCCTCACCAAAGATTCTTTTAGCTACCATGCTACTAGAGCAAGAGAAAATGGAAGAGTGAAATTTGTGCTTATAATTTTTTATTGCTAATATCAGTACAATGTGACTCATGATCATTATATAGTGCGAAATTCATTAAATATTTATCAATGATAATAATCAGGCTGTAATTTATTCACCAAATTTGCAAAGTAAAGTCCCACCCAGACTAAAGAAGTTTTATTATCCATGACCCAAAAGAAACTACTTTTGAGTATGACACAGTTTTTCACCAGAGACAGAAAGTGTCCAGGCAAGAAAAAAAAATCTTCAAAATAAATTGAAAGGGGGGCAACTAATGGTACACTGGATAAAGTACCAGCCCTAGACTCAGGAAGACCAGAATTCAAATACAGCCTCAGGCATGTACTAGCAGAGAGACCCTGAGCAAGTCACTTAACCCTGATTGCCTCAAAAAAAAAAAAAAAAAAAAAAGTAAACTGAAAGGAAAAATGAAGGATGGCAATGTACTCTATGAGTGTTTCTTAAAGACACTAAGGACACTATAACACACACACACACACACACACACACACAGCCTTCAGTTGTATGAGAGTTTCTCAAAAATTTGTATAATGACTGCCATGAGGCGATCCTTGAGTGAGGCAATCATGAGATGGTCCAGTGGATTCAGCACTGTCAGGAAAACTGAGTTCCAGTCTAGCCTAAGACATTAGCTGAATGACCCTAGGCAAGTCATGGGACCTTTACGTCAGTTTCCTCAACTAAAAATGAGGTTAACAGCACCATAGTCTTAGGGTTGTTGTGAAGATCAAATAAAGATAATATTTGTAAAAAAAAATGCATAGCACCTGGTACATAGTTGACACTATATAAACATTTATTCCTTCCTCCATGAACCTCTATTTACAATTGAACATCATCTCTCTGAGCAAGGAGCCTCTGATTATTACACTATGAGCAAACACATTACCTTCTTTTCCTACCTTGGTCTCCATATCACTTTTTACCACTGGGTAGTCTCTCTAGAATTTTTTAATATATCAACATTCTGTAAGTTACTCAAGGATACTGCTGTAGGTATAGTCCAGATAGGTGATGGGTACTGCACATATACAAGATATTTTCCTTTGGACAGTCAAGTGTTTTAGCTATGAAAGTGAATTATCTTAGTAATACCTACTGCCACCACGTATATCCTTACCTGCCAGTGTTGGCAGAGGCTCCCTGGTAGTTGTTTAAAATTGAGGATACCACCCCCAAAAAAGAGCCAAAAAAAAAAATCAGAAAGAGCCTCAAAACTAGAAAAGGAAAAATGGTTTTGTGTAATTCACTAATATTTGAAAGACTAGTTTGGGTAAGGAGGCAGTGTTTTTAATTGAGAAACCAAATTTTATGTTAATTGTCAAAAAAGAAAAAAAACTTATATAAAACAAAAACTGACATACAGAAAATATGATTAATTTAAAATGACACAAATGGTCAAAAAATTGAAGCGGATATACAACTTTGTAACAAGAGCCTCAAAAGGCAAAAAGATTATCAGAAGTCACAAAGTACTAATACTTCACCTTTCTAAGGAGGTAAAAACCGACAAGGACTCAACACATTGTTTTACTGTAGATCATTTTTCACAGTTCAGATTTAAAAATTTAGGTTCCCTTTGCTATGAAAAGTTGAAAATTTCTTTACAAAATGTCTATCAACTTTTCTGAATTTATATTGAATGGACCTAAGTAAAACATCTAGTTCTTCACAGCTAAGTCAAAGTTACCAATTCTTCCTAAATAACATAGAAAATTTTAAGATCCAAGTTTAAGGAACTAGATATAGTCAATCTTTCTGATTTAACATTCAATCTTTATAAAGATGTAAAAAAAACCCAGCTAGAGCAAGCAACCAAATCAAACCATATTTCTGAATGCCATATAAGAAAAGAAATGTAAAGTTATAATATATACTAAATGCATGAAATAAATTGCTTTTATGAAATCTAACAAGAGAAGACACCCCACATCATATTTTCTTCCAGCTAAAATTCAAAAATTGTGACATGCCAGTAAATAAAAGACTACTTTCAATAATTAGAGAAATGGGCATTCAGGGAGGAGGAAGAGGATTAAATTTTTAAAGAAAAGATGCATAAAAATGAATAGAGATAAAGGAGCTGCTATGATAGTTTTGACCTAGGCAGTTGAAATGAAGTGCTTTAGCATTCCTGTGAACTTTAGCATAGATATATTCAATACAAGTTGAGTTCTTTGTACATACAGACAACATTTATGGTGCATAGCATAAGAATTCCTAAATAATGACCTACAAAGCAGGTATACTTTAATACATAAAAGTATGCTACATGCGCTACAATCTACATAAACACTGCTAATTTAAGGCATTAATAATCAAACTAACCCTTTTTCTGTACATTTAATAAATGATAGAACAATAGAAATCACAAATTTTCATATAGTCATATATTCTAAAGACAACTAATTTTAATAACATAATTTAAGTATGTTAAGGTCTCTAAAAAGTAAGCAAAACAACTATTTAAAAATCAACAGAGATAATTAAATGTTTGAATTTAAAGGCAAATTTTAAAGTTTCTGTTGTAAAATGTAACCTAAGGTATTCCAACCCAAATATAGCCTTTTAAACAAACAGAAATTTGTTGTTAGTTTGAAATGGTGAGCCTACTGATTACTTAATTCATTGTTAGAAAACTACTCTTGCTTGCTAAGAGAATATTCTAAAGTTTCATTATTTACATTCCCAGAAGAAGGAAGAACAGAAAACTGCCTGTATAAGACAGTGCACTAAACCAGCAGTCACAAAGAAGAGCCTTGGGAGCCACAAAGCATCAATAACACATGAGGAAACATGAAGCCAGTGATCCATGTGTTATCTGGCAGGCATAGACACTAACCTCATATACAAAAACAGGGGATAGAAGTAAATCATGGTTTAAAGTGAAAATTTCAAATTTTGATATGCCAATTACTTATTCATGCTTCATGAGGCATTTTTTCTCAATAATTTCTCTCACTAGTTATTGCTTATGAATATATTTATAACATGATTTGTATTCGATGTGCCATAAAAAATAAGCAATACAAATGAATGGCACTGAGTTTATGTCACAAGGAGAGTCTTTGTGATGATGCTCTAGTTCCATGAAATTCAGATGGTCAATTAAGAGTAAAAGAGCCACAATCAGAGTCCAAGCACATGCAATGTTTGCTTTTGTAAGGTAGTTGCAATTCTACAGAATAGCTCTACTAGAACCAGAACCGAAAAGAAGAAAAAGGACCTAGAGTATGCTGCGATGGCTAAGAACTTTTGTTTAAATATTTTAAGTTCCTAAGTGAGGTCACCAACAAAAAGGTCATTTTCATTGTAGTATAATTTATTTCTCTTTTCCATGCTCAAATGCAAAGACCCTCCAAGTGACCTCTGCTGCCATTTCATATTGTAAGCAGTTAATCAAGTTATTTCCAAAATGGATTTAGGTTCCCCAGCAGGTACCTGGTAAATGGGGTTAGTGGCTGTGCAATCATCACATGTAAACTTACAACATATTCCCTAGCCTCAATGGCATAGGTAGGTTTCCCTATAGTCCTCTTCATAAGTTCTTTGTGAAAAGAGAAAGACTGAGTCTGCCGATGAATCAGCAAGAGAAAATATACATTTGTTAAAAGGGGACAAGTGGAAACCAACTTGATACCTCATTTTTTTGGTTCTATCGTAAGGAAAAAAGGCAATAATTTAAACCTCTGACAGCATTTGGTAAATATCTTTGAAATACTAAGATCAACAATGAAGATTTCTTATTAAAGAGAATTTTAAGGTACCAAAAAAACCCATTTACTCAAACCAGAAAAATAAATCTTAATTTATAACAGGTAAAAGGAACAATGTATTCCCATAACAATGAGAGCAAAAGAAAATATTCTATCTGGTCTTATTTTGATTTAATCTTTTGCAGTAAAGATGAAGTAACATGGTCTACTGTTTAGGGGATACACCAACGAAAATACTTTGAATTATCACACCTTAAGTGTAAAGAAAGTTGATCAGATCAACAAAATATGGTCAAAAATATAAATAAACTTCATTATGATAGATAGCATTAACAGCTCCCACTTAAAAAACCCACCAATACATATGTACACGTAGGAAAACAAAAAACACGAAACTCCTCAATTTTGTTGATTAAAATGTTTAGGAAAGAAATCAAATTGTTCTACAAATATTTGCAAAGACTTTTATACTCTACTGGTAAAAATAGGACAGTATATAATGTAAGAAGACTAGATTAGAAGTCAGGATACCTAAGTGGTCTATAGAGACCACCTTGTGTGTGATCTTAGCAAAAATTACATCATCTCTCTGAATCTCAGTGTAAAATGAGTGCATGATCTCTAAAATGAGGTGGTCGGACTAGATGATCTGTGTAGTTCCTTTCAACTCTAAAATCTTATGATTCCGAGAAATATGTACCTGAAAAGAAATTCAACATAGGAATTTCTAATTCTCCTAAGATGATTTTTCTATGTAAATAATCTTCAAAATAATTATAATCCCAATTATGGAAAGGAAAACTGCTAGTAGCTAAAAATGTAATCACAATCTGTTTCTACAGATAAATACAGGTAAACAGATGTTAATTTTTTTCCATGCTTAAAAAATATTTTTATGAATTTGTTTTGACTTGTTCAATAATATTTTCCCAAACAAAACCCACCAACTTTTCTTTTGCAATGTGCTTCTTCTAATGTCTTGCTTCCTCTCAAAGACAAGAAAGTCAAAAGATTATCAAATCTGAACTAAACAAAAAACAAATTAACCGACTAAAGGGGATCAAATGTTTTTCTACTTGCCAAATGTGATTTCAATTCAACAAAAATTTTATAAAAGAAAATAGCCAATTCAGGTAATAAAAATGAATGCTGAGTTTTATTGTCAAATAAATAATGAAACTACATTGGATTTTTTTTCCCCAACGACTCTTAGTAAGATCAAAGTTATTAAAATGTTGCCTTTCTTAAAATGAAAGCAAAGTGGGGCAGCTAGGTGGCGCAGTGGATAGAACACCAGCCCTGATGTCAGGAGGACATGAGTTCAAATGTGGCCTCAGCCACTTGACACTTACTAGCTGCGTGACCCTGGGCAAGTCACTTTACCCCACTGATTAGTTAAAAAAAAAGAAAAAAGAAAAAAAATGAAAGCAAAGTAAATTAGACTTCTCTTTCTTTACAAAGTTATGTTTGGTTTTGATGATAACATTTTCTAGATATCACTTTCTTATATTGTATAAAATTTAGGTTTTTTAACTTTCCTTTGACATTCAAAGAAAATCATGGCACATAAACCAAATGCATTCAATTAAGTCCAATGGACTGTGTAGTTCTAATGGAGGAAAGGCAGTATGTTGTATAATTTAACAAATGGTATGAAAATATAAAAATGCAACATATTATTAAAAGAAAATACAAAGATCGTACTTATGAAATACTCATCACAAGCTCAGTAATTAGCTTTTATTAAAAAAGTTTATCCGATTTACAGTGAAGGCACAGAAAATATCAAATCTCAACAATCTAACAAAAGCACCATGATGAGATGTTTGCATTTCTTTGATGACAAGGTGAGAAACAACTGACAAGGAGGGAAGGTAGAAGACAGAAAACATGAAAGCTGGCATGAGCCACTGAGCTGTTGCCTTTTCACAACTGTTAACTATGGAACACAATGTAATCATATACTTTGGAGTCAAACTCCATATCCTAAGTTGCTCCCTTGATATCTCTGGGAAAATTATTATATTTCAGTTTTTTAATTTATTGTATTACATGAAGTGACACAAGTTATTTGCTCCACTACTACCTAGGTTCACAAATACATTGTCCATGATAGTATTTTTCACTACACAATGAGGAAAAAGTGTTCTGAGATTTTCAAATGAAAGGTACTCTCTCTTTATAAAGATGCAGCCATTTTAATCCTTTAGTAGAAAATGAACTAACATAAGCATTAAAGAATGCTTTACTCTCTGTCTCAATCCAATGTTTCTAAATAGGTGAAATACCTATTCACAATTAATAATTCACTGGTGATAATAAGTTTCTTTCTGGTAACAGTTACATCTAATTATGAGGAAAGTATAGAAGTACATTCTCCCTCAGGGACTGATAGAGTTTATAACATTTAACTATTGATGGATAGGAATAATATCCATCTTTGCGCTAACCATATTATAAAAGACAGGATATAGTCATGTCATGTATACAATCAATGCTACAGGAGCTATGATTTGATTCTTAGGATATTCTAATCTGAAATTTTACTGATTATATATTTCATATCAGTTCTCCTTTCCTCCTTTTAAAGACAAGCCCTTCATTTATTCTGTTCTAATAATTAGGTACATTATCAATCCTTAATAAATTCTCATAAATAGTTATTTGCTCCACCGTGATTTATAGTAATTCTCTAAAATTCTGGGCTATAGATGACAATAACTTGTTCTAAACATGATTCACACATAGAAGATACTTAATAAAACGTACAGTGAATAGACAAGTAAATCCTATTCTACTGTGACATTCTTGTTAATTAGTGGTTATGAAAACTACATCTAAGTTCACCTATTTTGTAAAGATCAAGGTGAAACACTAAAGTCTCATATGCTTTTGGCAAAAATTAAGAGAATCATTCCTCCATGTAATGCTATTACAAACAGACATATGTTCTGTGGTTTCACTGTGAAATTCTTGATCACAATTGATCATACATTCTTCTTTCTCTCACTTTTTTGAGGCTATAATGAAACACAATAGTCATTCACAAACAAAACTCGGTACAGAGAACAGAAAGTGCAACAAAAGCGTGAGAGAGACAGCTATCTAGAGCAGAACTTACCCCACGCTTTAGACTCCTGAAGCAGTGGATTTTGGGTTTGGAGGTCATGAACTCGTTGAAACGATGGGAGAGGGGCTCCTTTTGCTGCTTGGGAGACTGGGGGCCGTTGGGAACAGCAGAGGGTGAGGCAGAGGCAGGGGGAGGAGGGGGGGGCTGAGGGGGGGATGTTAAAAGGGACATAAGCTACGTATAAGAGATGGAGCAGTGAGAGAATAAAAACCAGAAACAAGAAGACACAAAACAAAAATAAGCATCAAATAATATTTGAAGTACAAAGCAATTAAAACACAAACAATTAAATATTTATGCCATGGTCCAAAAGAAAACACATAAAATGTGTTAAAACAAGATGATAAAAAGTGAAGGTTTAGTAAGTAATGCAACAGAAAGAACAGCAAGAAATAGTTGATAAAAAGCTCATGCAGACTTTTACATGCAAACTGCAGTTCATTAAGTTATTCTTTACTAGTTCTATAGATAAGTCAAAAAAGAAATAGTGCTCAGATACCTGAACTGATACAAATCAATGGAAGAAGACTTAGGTGAGCACTCAAAATTACTCTAGTATCAAGAAAACTGCAAGACTTATCATCTTTTGTGTTTCTGAATTATGGATAGACTATCCTAAGTAAAGCAGAAACATTGCCTTGATCATATTTTATAACCCCAGGTTAATGCTGCCATGTAGTTGAATCCCAGTATCAAAACTGAAAAAAAATTTTCACAGATACAAATTAACATGAGTTCAAAAGTGGGTTAATGAATGATAAAGGTTCAATAAAAGTAGTGTGGAAAATTTATTCAGAATTCCCTCTCCCAAACCAAGTTAACACAGGTTTCAAGAATTTAGAAACGTGGAAACAGTGATGTAAAGCTGCCCAGAGTAATCAGTTTGTTAGTATGCGTGACACAATGTAAGTACCATATGGCATCTGAGTTATAAACAAATGGCCATGGCAAACACATAACCATCCACAAAAAATAAAAGCAACACAATTTAGAAATCTTTTTAAAGATAAATAGAAAGTTACAAAACAACGCATCCATTTTTTGTATTCTGAAATTTAACAATTAAAAAATCTTAGTTGAAAATATCACAAGACAAAGAGCCATTGAAACCCCCAGAGTTCAAACCAGCAGTACCTTATTTTTTTTGATGAAGGGCCACAATTTTCCCTTGGACTTGCTAGCAAATTTGAGCTCTGTTTTGCTGTCCCCTCTGGAATTTGAAAGACTAGTTTCAGATATAGTACGCTTCATTGGCTGCGTATAATCCTCAAATTCAATGTCTCCAGGAGGTTCAAACCCTGATTTGTAGGCTTCTATTACCAACTGTGAATCCTGAAAGAACACAAAAAACATATTTACATTCAAATAGGTGTACAATGAATTACAAAGGTGTACTTTATTAGGATAATTAGTTTAATGTAGTCAAACTACACGTGCAATATCTATAAAGTCCTCTGTAAATCTTTTTTTTTTAAGGCAATTGGGGTTAAGTGATTTGCCCAGGGTCACACAGCTAATAAGTGTTAAGTGTCTCAGGCTGGATTTGAACTCAGATCCTCCTGACTTCAAGGCCACAGCTCTATTCACTGCGCCACTTAGCTGACCCTCTGTAAATCTTAAAGCGCCACAAATAAGTATGAGCTATTAAATTGATTGGCTTAATGTACAGTATGTTGTACAAAACAGTCACTTGATAGTAAACGGCACTTTTTCACTTTCATTTTATATATGGAAAAAGATGTTAATAAGGACCCCTTAATTAAAAAGACACACTGAATATATACAACTACCACCAAGCTTCTTTGGAAAAAAAAAAACCCGATGCATTACTCTTCCTATCAAACATCTCAAAGCAACTATCTAATGCAGAAAAATTTGTAAAGCAAAAGGCTTACTAGTCAATTGCTCTAATTAAAATATGTAGAGTTTGATAAAACATTACATCTGCAACAGATTTATTGACTGAAGCATTTATTAAACACCAAATATGTACAAGGTGTTATGTGCTAAGTAGTCGGGGGAGGGAGATAAAAGACATATAAGACATGGTTCTTGTCCTCAAGAAGCTCACAATCTAGTAAACATGGTAAGAAATATACACAAATAAGTACAAATTAGAATATTTATAAGAGTATAAAAGAATATTAAAGTACCACATGATTAAATGAGGGAGAAATACTGCCAGAAATCCAGAGGGAAAGCTCAGGCAGGTTCATTTAAAAGTTAATAGACATGATTTGCCTTCTCTGTGGCGATCTTAGGTTGCCTAATAGCTCCATAAATAGATTCTAGAACAAACTAAAGCACTGTGTTGTTTTTTTTTAAATAATCATATTAAGAGATATTTTTTCATAAGCAAAAAAATTAGCTTTTTCCATAAGTCCAAATCTGTGCAAAAAGGTAATGTTTTTTTCTCTTATTTTTAGTTGAATGAGTCATGGAATACAAATCTCCTCACAACATATATTATCGCAAATACAACTTACTGAAAGGCTATAAAAAGCATTGTAGAATATGCATATATATGTATACACCAGCCATATTAACAGAAAAAAAGACATTTATTTTTATTAAGACCACCTGAAGAAAACAATTATAAATCAGAACAAATGATTCTTAATATAATTTTAGATTTTAAATGAAATTATGAGTATCTATTCCACCTTTGGGATATTGTGTCAATTTGTAGAGATAACATCACTTAAATACTAAAAAAGGAAAAATTGTTAAATTTAAATAATTTCACTTTGGCTTTGGCAATTTCAGAAAACAACTGTCCATTATGTTTTGTACTCAGTCCTAGGATTAATAAGATATGTTGGATAACACTGACTTACTGACTATACAACTCTAGCAATAAGAATACTACCACAGAGCTCTCTTTAAGAGATAAGAAACCTGAGAAGATCTGTATGAATTGTTACAGAGGTAAATAACCAGGAGAATGATTACACAATGAGCACAAGAAGTAAAGAAAACAAAACTGAAAAGACTTCAGAATACCGAGGGTGAAGCATACTTCCTCCAGTAGCAGAGCGGTGTGGAATAAAGGTGTGAAATGAAACATCCATTTTTAGACATGGCCAATGTGTTGGTTTCATTTTCTTGGATTGTACTTATTTGTTACAAAGGGAACTATTGATTGGAATGTACTGGGGGAGTAAATGGGAAGTATCAGGAAAAGAAAAAAAGAACAAATAAGTAAAACACATTTTTAAAATTAAATTTTATTTTTTCAATCAATAAAAATTCTCCTTCTCTGCTTCCCACCTCTCTCTCATTGAGAATGCAAGAAAAACAAAACCCCTGTTACAAACGTGTTAAAACATTTATTTTTAAAAGAGAGATAGTGTACCTGCCAAGACAAACCCAGGAACTATATAAACACAATTACAAAGCACTTCACACAAATAAAGTCAGATCTAAATAATTAGAAGAATATTCATTGCTCATGGGTAGGCCAAGCCAAAATAATAAAGATGACAGTTCTACCTGAATTAATTTATTTATTCAGTGGCACACCAATCAAACTACCAAAAAAATTTTTAGAGTTAGAAAAAATAACAAAATTCATCTGGAAGAACAAAAGATCAAGAATATAAGGGGAATTAATGAAGACAAATGTGAAGAAGGGTGGCCTACAGGTACTAGATCTCAAACTGTTATCATAAATCTGTAATCATCAAAATTATCTGGTATTGGCTAAGAAACAATGGTGAATCAATGGAATAGATTAGGTACACAAGACTTGTATTAAATGGCCATAGTAATCTAGTGTTTGATAAACCCAAAGACCCCACCTTTTGGGGCAAGAATTCATTATTTGCCAAAAACTGCTAGGAAAAATGGAAAACAGTATGGCAGAAACTAGGTATGGACCAACATTTTACACTGAATACCAAGATATGGTTAAAATGGGTACATGACTTAAACGTAAAGGGTGACACCATAAGCAAATTAGGAGAGCAAGGGATGGTTTACCTATCAGATCCATGCTGAGAGGTAGAATTTATGACCAAACAAGAGACAGAGAGCTTTACTAGATGTAAAATGGACAATTTTGATTATATTAAACTAAAAAGATTTTGCACAAACAAAATCAATGCAATCAAGATTAGAAGGAAAACAGAAAGCTGAGAAATAATTTTTAAGGCAAGTTTCTATTACAAAGGCCTCATTTCTCAAATATATAGAGAACTGAGTCAAATTCATAAGAATATAAGTCATTTCCCAAATAATAGTCAAAGGATATGAACATGTAGTTTTCAGATGAAGAAATCAAAGCTAGATAATAGTCATAAAAAAATGCTCAAAATGACCATTGATTAGAGAAATGAAAATTAAAATAACTGAGATACCACACCTATCAGATTGGCTAATATAACAGCAAAGGAAAATGCTAAATGTTGGAGAAGATGTGGGAAAATTGAGACATTAATGCACTGTTTGTGAAATTGTGAACTGATTTAACCATTCTTGAGAGCAATTTGGAACTATACCCAAAGGGCTATAAAACTGTGCATACTTTTTGATCCAGCAATAGCACTACTGGGTCTATATCCCAAAGATAAAGGAAAAAAAAGGAGGAAAGGACTTTTTTGTACAAAAATATTTACAGCGGCTCTTCTTGTCGGGGCAAAGATTTGGAAATTGAAGAGATGATCATCAATGGGGGAATATCTGAACAAGCTGTGGTATATGATTATAATGGAATATTACTGTGCTATAAGAAATGATGAGCAGGCTGATTTCAGAAAAACCTGGAAAGACTTATACGAACTAATGCAAAGTGAATTGAGCAGAACCAGCAGAACATTGTATAACTTATATCAAATCACTTACCAGCTCAGGAGGAAGAAGGTGAGGGAGGGAAAAAATTTGAAACTCAAAATGAATGTTAAAAATTATCTTTGCATGTAACTGGGGAAAAATAAAATATTAAAAAAAACAAACAAAAGAGAGAGAATGATAGATTAGAACAAATATAATCTAGGGAGCATACATGCAGAAAAGAGATAGACTATACATGACTCCAGAAAAAAAGAAAACATTTAATTACAACATTTCTGATGAATTTAATTGTGACAGATACAAGATTTATTTTGAAGAGTAAATATGGTTCAAAATATATGGAGAATATAGAAAAGAATTGGATATGGGAAAAATCAGGCATAATGAGGATATACTACTTCAAATGTTTTATTTTGTGTGCCTTCAGAAAATATATATAGAATTAAATGTTTAAAAATATTTTGCATCTTTGAAGAGTAATGTTAGCTAACTTCAACTGTGCAACACAAAATTAGCACAAGAATTTTCTTGTTTGCAGAAAAGGTTATAACTACATAAGGACCACAGATTGAGAGCTAGAAGGGACCTTATAAGTCAGCTTTGTCCAAATGCCTCATTTTACAATTAAGGAAACTGAGGGTTAAAAATCTTAGGTGATTTGTAAGTAAGCAGAGTCAAGATTTGAACCTACATCCTCTGATTTTTTATATGGCATGGAACCATGATGTTTCTCAATTCTTATTGACTATTACATACCCCACACAATGGCTGCTCTAAACCTTCAAGCACCAACTCTATTCCCTGTACCATCCAGTGGTGACAAACTCAAATAGAAATGAGGCCACTAAATCACAGATGAGAATCCCCCTACGGGTGTAGAAAATCACGTATTAACATTGTCTATGTAAGATTTACCAATTACATTTTAACCTGGTTTGGACTCATTTAGGAGTATTGTGGGCTGGGGGCAGAGCCAAGATGGCAGAGGGAAAGCAGTGACTGTCTTGAGCTCTCTCCCAAAGCCCTCCAAATGGCTCTAAACAAATTCTAAAGCAGAACCCACAAAATGACAGAGTGAAACAAATTTCCAGCCAAAGACAGCCTGGATGGTTGATCAGAAAGGTATATCGTGCCTGGCGGGAAGAGGAGTGCAGCTTGGCGTGGGTGCGCAGGCCACAGTGACCCTGGAGCAGGCCTCAGAAGACTGAATCGCGGGCAGCTGTGGCAGTTTCCACTCTTCTCAACCCCTGAATGCCAAAGACAACTTAGAAGATAAGTGGGAAAAGTCTGTGACTGTAGTCAGAGAGGAGCTAGGTCTCAGCCGCAAGTCTCGAGCGTGGCCCAGGGCCGCGGCTTTTTCCTGAGCTTCCGGCCCACAGACTGAAGGGGAATCAAGTGGCTGATCAGAGGGGGATTTCAGGGATCTCTTTGCCAGTGCTGAGGCAGGAATCTCTTGCTTTACTGGTGCTTGGATCTGGGTCACAGTTCTGAGGAGTGGTCCTGGGGCGAGGAGGAACGCTGGTGCAGTGGAGCTTGTTGTG